GGGCAAGTGTGGATAGGTACTGAAAGTCTGCAACACCTGTTCTGAAAATGTTAGGTAATTTCACATTTCCTTTTAGGCATAAAGAGAGATCCTATGAAGCCATTTGTGCCTAGGACAGTTGTTATTGGAGGCAAAGTAAGTTAATCCCACCGGGCTTTGTGTAAGGGGGGGGGGGTATGACACTTCATGGGGGAGACTTTCAAAAGCACTTAAGGGATTTAGGAGCATAAAAGTCCCACTCCCTTTTAATGGGATTTTACCTTTGGAAAAATCTACCTCTTATGGTAGCATCTGAAAGGTTTCAGCGCCCCACTGAACTTGGCAAAGCACAAACCTAGAATAATTGACAGTCCCTGCCCCAGAGAGTTTACAGTCAAAATGACAAGATAACTGGTGGATGCAAGAAACAAGCGGGCTGGGGTATGGAGGGGAAAAAGACAAGGTAACAAGGGTGTTCCAACAAACTAGCTGTGTGAGCAAAATGGCAGTCAAAGAATGTGGGTGTACAATTATTAACAGCCTTGCTAATCTTCAGCCTGTGGCTCTTTTCTAGGCTGCTCCTGGATACCACATGGCTAAAATGATCATCAAACTCATTACAGCTGTGGGTCATGTGGTGAACAATGACCCTGTGGTTGGAAACAAGTTGAAAGTCATCTTTCTGGAGAACTACCGAGTGTCCCTGGCTGAAAAAGGTAAAGTGCTCAGAGCCGTGGGAGAGGCTGCATGCGCAGTATGGTTTGGAGGAGGACGTAACTGCCATTACAATAAAGCTGCCAAGTAATTTTAGATCAGCCTGTCTAACTGGGTGCAGTTAAGATTTTTCTTCCCTACCTAGAGCTTGTACGCGCTGCTGCTTATATGTAGACCGACGAGCCGAAGCACGGCTGGAAGGGTTAACAGCAGTTTCCCTTTCAGAGTGAGCGAGAGTGTGGGTATGTTCTTCCACTTTGTTACCTGGATTGACAAGCTACTACTTCACCGCTTTTTCTGTGTGTGTGCGCTTTAAACCAAAACAAGGTTCTCCTGTGGAGCTTACAACTGTAGTTGTGTCTCATAGCTGTGTCAACACTGCAAGAGCTCTTGAGAGAGAGTTGGATCTTCTAGAGTTGGGTTGTCTTGAAAATTCCATCTCTGTGCACGCTGTGGTGGTAAAATAAACCAGCAATTCAAACAGCAAGAATAAGTCTCCTAAACACGAACACTGCCTAAGAACTGCAGAGGAGAATGATCTCTGATCTAAAGTTCTCCAAGCAGTGTGCAATCTTACCTAGTATAAGTTTTTTATGATGATTTAGGAATGAAGCTATGGCCAGAATTCTAAGGCCCTGATCCTGCAAGAGGATCTATGCAGACATCTGTATGGATTCAGCGTTCCATCTACACAAAGCCAGTTGTAGGATCAGGAGCCTAAGTTTGAAAACATGTATTCTGAAGGATGGATTTAAAAAGTGTCCATATCGATTAGGAAGCTGCAGTAGGCTGGTATGTCCTGCCAGTGTCTTTTTAAAGCCAGGTCCCAAGCTGCAGCCAACTTTTCAATCAGTATAAATCCCTAGAACTAGGAGCCAACACAACACCAATCCAAGGATGCTAATGGATGCTGCTCTTAAACTGGGCAGTGATGCCAAGGATGGATTCCTGTTTAGACTTTAAATTGACTCTCATGGAATTGGGAACGAAGCCAGTAATTATGACCCTCTTAATGCATTTTATTGGCAGTGATTCCAGCGACCGACCTGTCTGAACAGATTTCCACAGCAGGTACTGAAGCGTCCGGTACAGGAAACATGAAATTCATGCTGAATGGAGCCCTGACCATTGGGACCATGGATGGAGCAAATGTTGAAATGGCAGAGGAGGCTGGAGAAGAGAACTTGTTCATCTTTGGCATGAGGATCCAGGATGTTGCAGAGCTGGACAAGAAAGGGTGAGGTTCTTGTATAGCATTATATGAAGGAGAGCTTTGGGGTGGGGGGGAAATAAGTCAGTCCCCTGGGCTGGACCTTTATACCAATGAAGCTTTGAATCACACTGCTGGCCAACGGCTCCAAAACTTGTCTCTCTCAGTCTCTCTCATCAGCAGCAGTTGATCCAATAATAGGTATTACCTCACCCACCTTGTGTGTCTCATATCCTGATCCAACATGACTACAATCACTCTGAACTTCAGCCTTTGTGCATTCAGACTGCCGCTTGGCTTGGAAGCCCAGCCTTGGAGGGTAGCTTTGCTCAAAGAAGGGGCATTGCTGTAATCCAGCCTTGGAGGCTGCATAGGCATGGGTTTACCTTGGCAAGGAACAAAACCATTAGGAAGTGGTGCAACTTCTGAATACCATGCAGGTGGAAAGAGCTGCCCTTAAAGGTCTGTTGCATCAAAAGGACTACAGCAGTAGAGGGCACCAGAGCACCGGACTAGTGAATTAACCGTGGCAGTAGGTAAAATTAGCTTCAGGATTCATCACTGTTAAATTGTTAGAACAAACAGATGTTTAAAATGGCTTGTTAAACATCTTCCCTCTCTGCATCTCAGGTACAATGCTCAGGAATACTATGACAAGCTTCCTGAATTGAAGCAGGCCATTGATCAGATCAAGAGTGGCTTCTTCTCTCCGACGCAACCTGACCTTTTCAATGAAGTGACCAACATGCTGTTCCACCATGACAGGTAGGAACCACCTCTGAAATACTAACTCTGGGGCAGGAGATGGCTTAGTGGTATCAGCATTCAGTTCAAAATACCTGTGTTCCCTGGCACCAAGTAGAGACCCCAGCAGGGTCCATTTAGGTCTTCATCCTTCCAAGAGGGGGGTGGGGGAGGTGTTTTTCAGATGTGGCTTGAGGAGCTGAAGTCCAGTCTCCTCCATTCAGTCCATGGCACTTATCAGTTTGCTGCAGTATATTTAGCCAAAACTCTTTGGAGCACAGATTTGCAATGTACTGGCTGCCACTTATCTTCCTCACTGTCACGCTCTCCCCCTGAGGTGACTGTATTTCAGAGTGCTATACTGATGAAAAAGCAATTTAGGATCCTTTGGGGGTGAAAGGCTCTCTACAATTCTAACATTTTAGAACTGATGTAGAATTGATTTTTAGCAGTTTTTTTTAATATTCCTCTTGGGAACATAAAACTGATACATTTGGGCACATGCCTTTGTCACAAGCGTACACAGATGATGTTCCTGTGCCGTGAGGCTTCTTAATAGCCTTTTTGAATGGTACAGCCTGTATTTCTCCGAGAATATGAACAGTAACCAGGATGTCACTTGCTGCTCTTTCCCTATTTCAGGCCAGGAGGAGGGTGTTTTGTGTCTTGCAGTGCTTGGACTAAAAGCTCTCTGTGACAGAGGATGTTGTACCTATTATGTGGGCAGCTGCTTTGAAATTGTAGGCACTATGGGAATACATAATGTTAGCTCCCATGACATCTTGTCTTCCTTGAATGTCTGGTGTACCATTGTCTCGGCTGGTCTGTACTATCCCTCTTTCCATTGACAACTCGATACAGGCCAGGATGGGGGAGTTCTAGGAAAACAGGTTGAAGACTTTCAAACAAGTCAGGAATACATGTTTTGTGAAGTATTTCCCCGTGTGTGTCAATTCTCAGCTCTAAACAGGGCAGACCACTGAGCATTTTAGTTTATTAATATTAGTTAGCTGTCACCCAGGTATATAAAATGTCTGTAGGAGCAGGGTGAGTGACTTGCACTTTTTTCTTTGCTCTAATAGGTTTAAAGTATTTGCAGATTATGAGGCATATGTCAAATGCCAAGACAAAGTCAGCCAGCTGTATATGGTAAGAATGGGACAGGAACAATCCAGGGTGGGCTGGAATGGGATTGGATCCCTACTGCAAGTTAGAACATCTTGAAAGCTGCTCTTAACTTGTTCTAGGGCATACTGGGTTAATCTGGTAAATCCCCTGCTATAACCCACTGTATCTACTGGTTTAGCCCACTGCATCTACCTGTAGAGACTTACCAGTTAGTGAATATAATGGCAGATTGAGCACTGATTATTTTAGAGCTTAACTGAGGATAGTGACCGACTTCTGCCTGTCTCCATCAGTTGGTGGGTGGCTGAGGGAGCAAGAAACTTGCAATCTGCTGGAGGCTATAGTTGGGGGCCCTGCTCTTCAAATTGCTCACTAGGATCTCCATTAGCAAAAATGTATTTGAGCCAATTGGCTCTTCAAAAAGCTGGCATTGTTCACTATGCACTCAAGCAGAGCAGCTGATCCTGAGCAGTGTGCAAAGCTTTGTGTCCAAATACTTAAATATGAAAGTGACCTTCAGGCACGTCTTCACTGGAACAGGATCATGTAGGCCAGCAACTTGGAGAGGTTTGGTTGGCACAGCACAAGTTTTTCTAAAATTGCCCTCACTCAAACTTTAGACACTGTCCCTGTTGGGTACTATAGTAATGCTGCTGTTCCCTTCAAGGCTGGTGTCTAACCATAGTCCTAGATAGGAGTTTACCAGTCCTTTCAGGCACTCGGTAGAACAGATACAATTCCTGCAAGGACTATCAGCATTTACATGATGTGATCTGGTCTATCCACAGAACGCTAAGGAGTGGACCAAACTGGTTATTAGAAACATAGCTGCCTCTGGGAAGTTCTCCAGTGACAGGACCATTAAGGAATACGCCCGGGATATCTGGAATGTGGAGCCTTCTGACACAAAGATTCCTCCACCTAATGAACCAAGGGATGTGGTTGATGACAAGAATTCCAGTTGTACAACTGAAAAGCTGAAGATGTAGTTCTGAGAAGACTCTGCTGTGCAAGCTGCCTGTAGTAAAGATGTGGTGTAAGCATTGTTATACATACATACATTCCCATAATGGTTTAGTGGATATCTTTTTATTGTCTTTAAGGTTTCTCTGAGTCAAGGTGTTAGGAATGTTCAAATACAACTGCTTGCTTTTGGTGCTGGAATAAAAGTGCCAATTGAAATATCCACTGCACTCACTGTGGTTTACTTAAGCCTAAAGTCAGAACCTGGGATTGCTTGTGTAGACTCAGCCAGGCGATTTTACTGTACCTGTCCTCAAGTCAGATGTTACATAAAATGTCACAAGGGAAGTAGGGGGGGGAAGGAAGGAAGGAAAATAGGCCCAACTAGTCTAACTAGACACACACAAGTAGTAATAGGTTTCCTCAGGAGCAAGGGTGATAGTAATAGGCTTTGTTTCAGCAGAAGGAAAAACTGACCAAAACCTCCCTTGCTGTAAACTAAGTGTTGTAACTGCAGGGGGCACAGAACACTGCCCTTAACTGTTACCTTTCCTCAAGACTGAGCATGCACAGTTCTAACCTTTGATCACTTTCTATTCTCCCATGGGTTCTAATTTCCTAAAGAACTGGACTTAGCACTGAGGCAACCTCAGCAGGAGTATTGAGAGCAAGATAATTACCTCCCCACCTGAACACTCAGAGCCTTTCCAGCCCTCCACTGGACAGCCCTCTACGAACACTGGCCTCATCACTACCCCATAGTCATACTCCAGATATTAAGCACCCTGTTCCTACTAAGGTGTTAAGATAAAGTCCAATTCTGTGCTGACTAGTAACTTGACTACACAATTTGGAGTTTCACAGATGTGATGTCTGTAAAAACAGCCATAGAGGGGCTTATTTATCACTTCAAAAACTGCTTACATTTAGTGCAGCCCTTAGTTTTAAGCTCTTAAGAAGAAAACAAAGTTTAGTGTAAAGTAAACTTTACCCTACCTGAGTACAGCTTAGGGTAGGGGGAAGCTATTTTGCCAGTAGCAGGTCTGTCTACACAAATGTATTTAGTCCATTTGCTGATTAAAATCAAATCAACTTTCTATTGTAGTTTTGTTGAAAGTCTCTGCCATGATGTGGCTGCAGCTGTAAGTGCACCCATGGTGATTAACATACATTGCAGTAGCTGGTATCACTTGATGTTCTTCAGGAAGTCTCTGCAACAAAACAAGTAATGTTAAACTATCCTATTCTAATGGCTAAATGTTTAATATGTATCTTCCCCTGAAAGAAGGTAAGTTAGACTAGATAAACTTGCCCCTGTGGTATACTAATACAGGACTTGTTCTACAGGCCCCTTAAGGACTGTGCTCATTACAGATGCTGGGCTGAGTACTCCAGTAACTAATTATTGAATTGACCCTCCAAAGGAAGCAGCAGCCAGTGCCTCTGGAATACTAACCTGTGAAAGGCTGAGGGCTCCTGACAGAGTGGTGCAAGAGCTAGGTACTCACTATACTAGGGATTCCCACACTGGTACATACAGTCCCCAGAGATCTCAGATGCAGGATACGGGGGAGAAAGATTCATTGCATTTTCAGACTAGGTCTTCCAGCTGAAGCTTTAAAACTGAATGTTAAACACCAATACTTACTTCAACATGTACCCATGTGAACACACAGATACTGCACTCTAAAATACTCCTAGGGGAATTCTGCACATTGTCAACATAAGACTATATAATCATGCATTTCAATTTTGGTAATTTTTCAAAATACCAGTCAGCAAGTATGTTTAACAATACAGGAGTAGAGATTAAAAAACCACCTTTGACAACCCAGTTCTCTGCCTGCCCTCCCCCCCAGCAGAGGGAGAAACAGCCTGATGCTGGGTCCCAAGCTGATTAGGAGTTTCCTGCACACCTCCCCTCCTTCCTTCAGGGCAGGCAGAGAACTACAGATGCCCAGAACATACTGTAGAAGGGAGTGTGTGTGTGGTGACTCACTTAACATAGTTAAGATGCATTTTTCAGGAACATATGTGAAATAAAGCAAATCCAATTTCCCCATAAGAATTAATGTAAATTGGGGGGCGGTTAGGTTCCAGACAAACTCTCACCAGACAAGACACATCTACACTAAGTTTTGAATGATTGTGAAGCTTGGTTGAGGTGGAGGAGTCAGAGGGTGGGATATTTCCTAGGGAATGTCTTGCTGCTAAATGATGAACTAGCACTTGGCTGAGCCCTCAAGGGTTAATACACTTAATGTAGCCTCACACTCTACAAGGCAGCAGAGAGGAAACAATAGATACAGGGCAGTATCTGCAAACACTTCCCTGCAAAAATGGAACATGATGATGAGCCCCCACTATCCAGCTAGAGCACATGTGCAGCACTTTGGAAAGTCAGCACCTTTAGCTGTAAGGGTACATGCATATGAGGCAGGCAGGCATTGCCCCTTTAAGCAGCTCAGACAGGAAGCAACAGCTTCTAGCAAGCTGCCCTGTCCCCTCCTCTGCTTTGTGGAGAGAGGGTATAGAGCAGGGGGGACATCTTTATCAGCCCCCCTCTCCCCTGCAGGAAGCTCCCAGGAGAGGGCAGGGCAGGAGCAGCACAGCAGAACTGCTACTGGGCAGCTGCTGAGCCACATACCTTGGCTTACAGGGAAGTTGGGGGAGCCCACCCCCCTGGTTCTAATCCTAGGGTGACCAGATGTCCCAATTTTGGGGTGTCCTATATAGGTTCCTGTTACACCCCACCCCCCTCCCACTGGTCACCCTATCTAATCCAGTGGACAAAGCAGGCAGATGCCAAACATCATAAGGGAGCATTGTGTAACTTTAAATGAGCACATTCCCTAAATGATCAGCTACGAAACAACATTAACCTGCACAACGTTAAGTGAGGAGTTAGTGTATTTGCAAGATGGACTCTGCCAGGTCCAGCAGCCCCTAGTGGTAGCCCTCAGCTCTGCAGCCTACTGGGATTGTGTGCACACAACTTCATTGCTGTACAAATTCTACATTGTACAGAATTGCCCCATAAGTTGTAAGTGAAATATGGACAGATGCAAAGAGCAGCTCATGTTAACACAGCAATGAGAAGGATAAGGGATATATAATAAATAGACTAGTTTAGCTGTCCAGTAGCGCAGTTGTGGTATGTCACAGGGAAGAACATGATTGCTGTGCTTTCCCAGGGAAGCCAGAGGACTCTTCCCAGCAGAGTGACCAGGATCTACACCGAGGGCGCCAAAAAGCAACAGGCCCCTTGACTAGCATAAGCCCTTGACCAAAGGTAAATTTTCAGAGCATCTTTTACAATAGATTTGACTGGGGAGAGGCAGCAGCATTATCCCCACTTGTTTAAAAAAAAAACCACAGAAGCAAAGGGTAAAAGTATTTTGCAAGCAGCAGCTCACCTGTTAAGGGTGCCAGTTGTGGTCCAAGGCTGCAAACCCCCTTCTACGTCCACAGCTAGACAGCAGATGCTAACTAGTTGGGTACAGACCTGGGCAGGCTTTTCAGCTGAGAGGGACACTTGCCTTTACCCACCCCACAGAACAAGCTACTTTATAAACAAGCTAATTTGACAGCTGAGTCACCTGCTGGCATTACTTACTTCACAATGTCTGGCAGTTCTGGATCTGAACAGATGTTTTCATGGGCTAAACCCAGCTTCTCTGGAAAGGCAACAAACTTGACCTTGTCTTTGTTCGCATAGGAGTGGAGAGCAATCTCAGCAAGCTAGGATGGGGGGGGGGGGGGGGGGAGGAGAAAAGAGAGAGAATCTTCTACATGTCATTTAGACTTTGAGTACAGTTAAGTGAATTCTAATGGCTTCTCTCCGTAGGTAGTTTACATGGCCCTCTTCACCACAGTATGAGCACTTAATGGCTTCATTAACGCGCCTGTAACCTAGGGTAGTGCTGTTAACCACATCTCTCCAAGGGGCAGAAAGATGGGATCAGGCAGGTCACTTGCCCAAGGTCAGGCGGTGGTGGTCTTGGGTATTGAGGCTAGGTCACTTGAATAAATCCAGTGCTTTATCCACTAGACCTGCTTCTCTTCCTTAACTACCACCTAGTCCCCTGCTGATCCAGTTTCATGCACATAAGAGGTACACTCACTTCTCCCCAAAAGTAGCTAATATTAAGGGGAAAACAGCATTGACGGCCCCAACAAGAATTCTTTAGCATGCAGAAGCCTTGTTAGTTTTACTTGACCTACAAAGGTTTGGATATGGTCATTGAGCTGGAATATCAGGGTGATTTCTTTGATAGGCACGCCATAATTCCTTCCCATTGAACCAATCAATTCATACACTTCCATGTACTGCAGCAGTGATTACTCAGCTCACAGAACACTTGGCATGCTGGCTTTTTGAACACTGCTGTCACATCAGGTTTAAGTTCATGAACTTGATTGCTTTAGACTAAGGCTGTCAAACAATTAAGAATGGCAATTAATCAAGATTAAAAGTAGTTGCTATAAATTGCACTGTTAAATAGAATACCAATTTAAACTCAGCAGAGACGTACATCCTCCGGAATGGTGGCTGCAGCATGAAGAGGCACAAGTATCTTGCAACCCCAGCTACTACAATGCCATGTGAATGCTGCTTCTCGCTTTCAGGTGATATTGTAAATAAGAAGTTAGCAGCGTCTCCCATAAACGTAAACAAACTTGTCTGTCTTAGCAATTGGCTGAAGCAGGACTGAGTGGACTTGTAGGCTCTAAAGTTTTGCATTGTTTTGAGTGCAGTTGTGTAAAAAAAGAAAGCCATGCATAAATTGCACTTTCACAATAAAAATTGCACTATAGCACTTGTGTGAGGTGAATTGAAAAATACTATTTTGCACAGTACAAATATTTGCAATTAAAAATATGAAGTGAGACCTGTATATGTCCTAGTGTGTTGTAACTGAAATCCATGTATTTGAAAGTGTAGAACCACATCCAAAATATAAATTTAAAGTTAACAGTACAATTAAAACTGCAAGTAATCTAGTTAATTTGTTTGGAGTTAATCACTTGCGTTCACTGCCGTTGCTAGCCCTACTAGTATTCCTTTCCATTTTCCCAACCATCGTGCAACAATCAGGTTCCTTTCTGCAAGGTACTTCAAGAAAAAATGTACCCACCTCCATGAAGACTAGCACCCTAACATTCTATTGGGGTGAATATCAAGGTTAAAGACAAACCAAGCAGATAAAAAGGTTCCTCTAGAGCCATGAAATAAATGAAAGGTCTTTCAGAACTCCCAGTAGAGACAAGAGAAAGGCCCAGACAGTTACTCACTGCTGCGGCAGCCTGGATGCCCTTCTTTACACGGAGTCTGGTTAACGGTGCTCCAGCCCTGCCTTATGACTCGATCCTAGAGCTGACCCGCTCACTCCGAGGCAGGATCTCTCTGAACTAGTCTGCCTGCCTAAGGGTCCAGGTCTACGCACAACTGTTCAGGCCATGGCAGTTGTTTCTAGGCTGGAGTCAGCTGGATCATGGGAACCTTCAGTAGTACAGGGAAGCAGCAAGACCCGCCTCCAGGGTACTCGTCATGAGGGGAATTAAGGGATGTTGAAGGGGAAGTGGTGAATATAGCCTAGTAGTGGGGGCTGTTAGCAGTATCATACACACAGGGCACTTACTCAAGTTCCCTGCAAGCTGCGTGGTCACGCTGCAGCCTACTTAGCACCATGCAGGCGCTCAGGGAACCTGCCCAGGGACCTGCTGCAGGAGGGGTGCCCCTCCCCCAGCCATGGGGAAGAGAAGTAGTCTCTTCCCCACTGTAGCCCCTGAGCATCCCCTCATCCCTAGCCCCACCCCAGAGCCTGCATCCCCAGCTGGAGCCCTCACCCCTGCACCCAACACTGAGCCCCTCACCCCCAGCCCACAACCCCTGAACCCAGCCCTGAGCCCCTCATCCCCAGCCCCACACCCCCAGACAGAGCCCTCCCAGCCCTGAGCCCCCTCCCACACTCTAAACCCCTTGGCCCCACCACATGAGTTTTGTTATGTGCACCAATATGAAGGCGATGTGTCTTACTGGTGCACATAACAAAATTCGTTCTGCACATGGGTGGGAAAAAAATCTATGGGAACACTACTTACACCCATGGGAGATACTGCTCTGTTGTGCTGAAAGGGCTGCACTCCCCCCCCCTTCCCGCCCCCCACATAAAAACCTCTCTGTGTTGCATGGAATTTTTATGCATGGTGTTAAACACAGCACATACGAAGTCAATATAGATTCTTCTCAGTGAGCGGCATACAAAGGAATCTACAATTATACGTGATGCCACTGCTGGTAACAGGGCCCATTTGTAAAACAGAACAGTCTCAGACTTCCTTTCGCCTCACCTTTCCCCCAATAACCTAACCGCATATAGAGGTAGAGTTGGCTTTAATCATGAGAAAAGTTACCTTTCTACCCAGGTGCATGGGCAAGACAGGGTCATCTTCTGAATGCAAAATCAAAAGGGGACTGGACAGCACTTTAACACTAAGGGGAAAAAATAGAACCTGTTAAAGAAACACACAGCTTCTGGTTATTTAACCTAGTGCTTACTAACAAGGGCCAGTGTTAGGATCAAAGTTTTGTTAGTAATATTGGTTTGAGGGGTCTCTCCCAGCCCAAAGTGCTCTGCTGTTTAGCTACAGTTTGTACCTTTAAGATTTAAGAGGAGAGAGCACTGAGTTTTTAAAGGCAGACAGGAGCAGAACATTATGTGTACAAAGAGAGTGTAGAAACATCTGAATTTCAGGACACTGCAGATACCAGAAATACCCTCCCCCCTACACACATTTGACAAATGCTGAAGACTAGAAGTCCTAAATACTATCCCCTCTTTGTAATCACTTGGAATAACGAACTTTACACTCAAATCACTGCTGATGCTGCTTGCAGCAAAAGTCAAAGTGACAGCTCTGCAGCAGTTTGGTGGAGGAGTGAGTTCCTTCCTCTTCTCAAGATAGTGGAGGTCCAGGGGCTGGATAGCTGAGCTCCCCCTATGATGTGTAGGGTGTGCCAGTCTCGAGATGGCCAGTTCACGCTTTGTAGCGTACTTATGACAGGGACTCCATGGGAGGAAGAAAGCCTTAATATAGTCACTAGTCCTAGTGTGAAATATTTCTCAGTAGATCAGTCCTCTGTGTCCACCAAACACTTGACTATGGAAGCAAGGCTGAAAATATGCCTGACCTAAATTGGTTTATTCTGCTTGACTGGGACAGATGTCATGCTTGTAGGTTCCCTACTCACCCAAACACTTGAGTGGAGAATCTCTGAATGCGCAAGGCTTTCGACACACCTGTGGCTCCGTTTGTCTCATTTGTGAATCCTGCCCAACTCCCATAGATGGGAGTTTCTCACAAAAGCTTCTGCTTTCAAGATTTCTATTCCAAGTGTAACATAAGTTCAGGGCAGGTGCCCAGATGACACACAGCTGTTTCTGGCTCAGGGGAAATCAGTTTTCAGTTGTAGGGTAAGAGCTTTAACTGGCCATCACTACTAGTGGGACCATCCATTTGAAGTACGTCAGGTTTCAGAATGCACACGCAGGTGAACAGGGACGATGCTCTAAGCTAAGGCTTCAGGCTGCCTACTACCCAGCAGCTACGCCTGCTTCAAAGCGCACCAGGGAATGGTGTGTGCATTTTACACCCCCACTTGCCACAAACTAAGTGTGGATGTAGACAAGGCCTTAGTGTCAACCAAGACAGTGTTGTCTCCCTATTTATAATTTTCAAAATTTCCTTCACATGCGGGAGGACTGGACAATTTTTGTAGTGGGAATGGAGATTCCAGGGCAAGGGGATGACTCTCAGGGGCATGCAACTGCAGAACAAAAGCCCCGGTGCCTTATTTTATGCAGCATCTTTCATGTGCACTATATCCCTAAACAAGTTAGGGTTCCTCTATGCAATACTCATGAGTTAAGCCGCAGCAGAAAGAAGGCAAGGGAGAGGAGATACATTTAAGTCAGATGGAGAGACATAAAGGAAGGTGGCTCCTGGCTGCAGAGAAGGCTCTAGCATCAGGTGGGGCATGACTGCAGAGAGTCAGATCCCAGAATGAGTTGCGGGCAGAAGGTGGCAAAGGTGAGTTACACCAAGGCCACAGAATGTTTTGTAAAAGAGGGTATGTCCTGCTATTGCCAGCGGCCCCAAACCAAAGACTTAAGGAGAGAGACAGCAAGGGAGGAACAGCAGGGAAATGGTAAATAGCTAGAGAGGGTGGAAGAGAACTGCCCTCCTGGTCTCACTTCCTACTGCAGCCATTGTCAGAGCGTGAAAGAACAGAGCCTCTTCTGCGTACAGCTGAGCAATACAGCAAAGCAACAGAAGGCCTACCTGTCTTACACCCACCCCGCGCTATCTGCCGCCCTGCTGTTTGGGCGGGCGGGCCGCGGGGGGGGGGAACTCAGATGAGGGACAATAGGACTGAACTTGTCTAAACAGTGACATCTGCAGTCATTTTGTAGGTGACAAAAGCACACGTTTTAGGGGGCAGAAGTCTCTCAGAAAGCTAGTTACTGACACGGGCTAATTTTGATGGGAAAAGAGTGTTGTATGAAAATCTAGCTTCCAAGAGGCTGAGCCTCTCAGTGCCGCCAGTCTCAGTGATTCCTCCACTGTACAGAAAATGGGTTGTAATGTAACCAGAAACAGGACTTTGTTCATAGCAGCTAGCCAGTCCAGCAAGATGACAAGTATTCATGCTTCAAGCAGAACAGTAGGTCCAGAAACATTACTCACTTCTCATCATTATGGAAAAATATGTCACCCAATGCCATTGAGTCAAGGATTAAGTACTCAAATCCTGGGAATTTACGGTAGATCTATCAAAGAAAGAGGGAGAATTCAATGCAATACTGGGCTAGATGGACCTTTGGTCTGACCCGTATGGCCGTTCTTATGTTCTAACATTAGGGACCCTGTTGTACCTCTTAACTGTCCCTAGTTTTGCAGGGCATTCAGTTTGTCCCCCTGCATACTCCCACCCAAGGAATGGGTCCATACTTCACATACATACAGCTTTTTCATTAGAGTAAAACTGAACATGAACAAACTCACCCAAGTATTTACCCTGCCATCGCTATGTAGCACTGACCAGCATTTGACATGTGCTGTTTCTTCAGCACTGCTGACAGCTCTGTCAACAAGGGCTTCCCCCTCCCCACCACAACTGAGAAGGTCGCTGGTTTTAAAGCCCACTCTCTGGGAACAGAACATCTCCGTTCCAAGTTACGCCTAAAACAGGAGACCAGGCATGGTGTATCCTGGTGCTGTAGATCTCTTGACCAAATGACATTAACATTTACCCCTCCCAAATCACCACACTAATTCATTAATAGTAAATGAGATTCTAGCGGGACCCAGTTGTGCCAGGTGCTGTACACACAGAACAATTAAGGCTAAGAAATCATCCAGGATTAGTATAAATCCTGCACAGAGCTGAAGTTCTAGGGCAGCATGCAGGGGTTTGACACATCTCAGAGCACTTCCCAAAGTTAGGAATGTGTTATTGCCATGTTACGGACAGGCACAGATTAAGTGATTTGCCTGTAGTTACACAGCGTGGCAGTGGGACCAGAACCCAGGTCAACTTGTGCCTGTTCCACCGAGATGCAACAATCCTTCACGCTAAGGAAAGGCAGAATTTCCATCAACAGAATGTGTAAAGCGGCCTGACCATTCGAAGGTCCCCCCCTTCACGTGCATTATCACCAGCTTTGATTAACTCCCCCTCCCTTACCTACTCTGCATGGAGAACGTTTATAAGACAACTGTTCAGGACCAGAAAGACACAAATTAGTGTCCACCTCCCTGAGCGGCGCCAAAGGCCTGGAAGTGGGGTTACCGTGTCGTGTGTACCAAGAGTGAGGCTGGCTTGCATTCTGGAGTGAGCTTGCAGCCCCGGAAGGGGAGGAGTTCCTTAAAGACTGACCCGCCTCTGCACTCTAATCCCAGGCTGCTCTGGTAACTGGAGAGGACACCAGATAACTTGGACAGCTCTGGGAGCCCATCTCGGTTACAGCAGCCTCCCCAGGTTGCCCTATGGGCCGCAGCACTGCCGAGAATCTCTGCAGCACTGTGGATTGTAGTCCTACCCCTGACATGCTCCACCCACCAACACGCCCCCACCCCCAGCATGCACCCAAGGCCAGGGCTTGCAAGGCAGCCTTATGGGCTTTCTTCCATGGTCACTGCATCATGTGAATGCCTCCCCAGCCCCTTTACACCACTCCAGGCATTTTACCGTGTGGGGCCAGAGCAGGGGGAGGGTCTAACTCTTAATCTTTTGTCCCTTGTTGATTTGCAGGCCAAGAGATATGGTGTTTGGAGGCTGTGGAATATGGCATCATCTCCAATAGGACAGCAGGTTTAGTGCCCACACGAGTTCATGGTGTCCAGAGATGGATTTCATCCCAGAGATAGCCTGTTACCAAGGACCTTCCCAGATAAGACTGCCATTGCGTTTCCCACTGCTGAACGCTGGTTGATAGCCAGGAGCTACACCAGGTGTCAGACATCTAAATAATGCTCCCTCCCCAGTCCTGCAAGGGAGACGTAGCCAGGCTACTTAGAAGAATCTCACTGACAACGTGCACTTGCTTTCCACGTGCAGCTACACTAGGATACAGAGAGTTTATGGCCTTACTCTGGTAATGGGGATATGAGCTGCTGCCTCCCGAATGTTGGTGAATGAGGATTCCAGAATGATCAAGTCCACCTGGATGCCTTGGAAAGCGTAAGGAGGTACGAAATGATCAGTTAGGCTTTGGACCATTTGACATCCTTCTTGCTGCCTCCATGCCTCTCACCTGCGTTCCCCCCCACCCCACCCAAAAACCATGCATGAATTAGCAAGTCCAGTATATGAAAGCCAGGTGTTCTCATGTGCTGAGCATCTGTATTACTCTCCCCCTCACACACACAGTGCAAAATTAGGAGATTAGAAACAGTCCCTTGTTCTGCCACTATTCCGAGACTGTGCCTAATGACTGATCCAAAGGTTGTGGAGTCTTTCCAGTGACTGCAATGAGCTCTGGATCAGGCTCAATCAGCTGGATACTTGGAAAATTAAAGAGGCTGGACAGCAACTTCAAGTTACTGCAATTTCTAGGTCTGCCCTGCATGGCACTTGGCAGCTGCTCTCTGCTTCCTTGGCACTGTCCAACTCCCCTCCTATGGAGGGGAGTTCCCAACAGGTGCAGAGCCAGCTCCCTAGGCCACCCACCCTGCATCCCGCAGCACCCCAAAAATGCCAGAAGCACAGTGCACTTCAGTAGTCCCCAGCTGACAGCCCTTTGGAGCTGAACCTAGCTGATGTGGTGTAGACAAGCCCTTAGGTTGCGCTAAATTTGGCCGTGGCCACAGCGAGCTGTGACTGACTCTTGCTCCTCTCAGCTCCACCCAGCTGATGGGCCAGCCCCGGGTTATAAACATTTCAGAATTACCTTTTTCTTCAAGCAGTTTCCTTGCAACATTTGTTGCTACTCTGTAAGAAAGGAGCGATGAGTCAGTGATTATGAGGGCAGTGCATTTTAAAGGAGATGCATCGATTAAGGCCAGAACAGACCATTGGGTTCATCTCACTTGATCCCCCGTATAACACAGCCCAATGGACTCCAATTCCTGCTTCAAGTCCAACAGCTGTGGTTGAAATGGGATTTCTTTCAGAAAGATCCAATCTTGACTTAAGTATTTCCAGGGATGGAGAATCCATCACAACCCTTGGTAAATTGTTCCAATGGTTAATTACCCTTGTTGTTAAGAATTTGCTCCTTATTTCTAGTCTAAATTTCTCTTTCTCTGATCGACTGGAGAGCCTCTGTGATCAGATTTCTGTTCCCCATGTAGCTACTTTTAGACTAATCAAGACCTTTTCTTTGTTAAGTTAAATAAATTGAGCTCCTTGAGACTATAGCTATCAGGCAGGTTTTCCCCAATCCTTTAATCATTCTTGTGGCTCTTCTCTGAACACTCTCCAGTTTTTCCTCAACATCCTTCTTTAATTGTTGACACCAGAGCTGGACACTATATTCCAGCAGCGGTCACAGCAGTGCGAGATACAGAAGTAAAATAACCTCTGCTCCTATTCGAGATTCCCCTGTTTATACATTAGCATTTTTGGCCACTGCATTGTACTGGGAGCTCATGTTCAACTTGCATATCCACCATGACCCTTCTCCCCACAGCCTTTCTGAGTCTCTGCTTTCCAGGATAGAGTCTCCCCGCCTATAACTATGGCCTACATTCTTTGTTCCTAGATGGTAGGACTTCATGTTTGGTTGTACTGTAACATGTTTGCTTATGGCTGCCCAGTTTACCAGGTGATCCCGATCGCTCTGTATTAGTGACCTATACTCTTCAGTATTTACCACTCCCCCAGTCTTTGGGTCACTAGCAAGCTTTGTCATTTTATTTTCTTCCAGGTCATTGATAGAAATAAGTAGGGCCAGGAACCAATCTCTGCAGAATCCCACTTAAAAAAAATACCCGCTCAAAAATAATTGCCCATTTGCAATTACATTGACATGTACCAGCTAGCCAGTTTAATCCATTTTGTATGTGCCATGTTGATTTTGTACCTTTCTAGTTTCGTAAAGATGATGTCATATGGTACCAAATCAAATGCCTCACAAAAGTCTAAGTATCCCAGCATCATTACCTTTGACAACTACAGTTGCGAGAAATAGTTTGCAGAAATCTATTTGCCCTAAACCCATGTTGACTGGCATTAATTATTTTACCTTCTTTTAATTCATTATTAACAAAATCCCATATGAGCCATTCCACACGTTTTGCCCAGGACTGATGTCAAGCTGACAGGCCTATTGTTACCCAGATCATCCGGTTTACTCCTTAAAATGTTGGCACAACTTTAGCATTCTTCCAGTCCTCTGGGCCAGGACATTACTCCTCTGTTAGACAGTCTATGGAGTTCAGTGCCTTAGAAGTCGCTGAAATGTGACATTTTCCTACTATAAACAAGGCCTAATAGGAGAAATAGGGGATTGAACAGGATTTTCCTTTATTAAAAAGGAAGTTTTAGCAGTAGCAGAGATCAGAGGAGAGAAAGGATTACATGGGCATTATATGTTTGCAATTAAAACCCACCCTGGTATTTTAGGTTATACAGCAACTACACATTTGTCCAGCAACCCAAGGGATGCTTCACTACAATCCCTAGACTCCACATCCTTTGGCCAGTCTCCGGTACCACACTTACCCACTACCCAAGGAGTGTCCCCAGAAGAGCACTCTGCTATTTCCACTCCGGGCTTTTACCCAGTCATAGAGGTACAGGACGTCTGTAGTAAATCCAGTCTCACTTGGATAGCCGCTAGAGTCCCCATACCCTGGGAAGCAGCAGATTAGGGGGTTAAAACATGAAGAAAAAAATTTTAATAAATGGAGAGACAGCTTTGTTTGGTGTTTTTTGTTAAGTTTACCTCTGTAGTCAAGAGCCAGTATATGGAAGCCTGCACCACTCATCACCTGTTCAAGAAATCAAGCAATGTTACACTCCAAATGACAGACTAGGGCAGCCAATGTATTTATTGTTCAAAACTCAGAGCTAGTGTACGGGCTGGAAGAACCATCCTACAGTGGTGCAGCCCCAATCCATGGAAAGAAAGGATTGGTACCCACTAGATTCTACTTGCCCTACTCCTAGCCATCACTCAGATGTGTGCAGTTGGCTTGCTTGTGTAAAAAACAAAAACCAAGCAAGATTTGGCCCTACCAAATCTTTGTTGGTGACATACACTACCTGGGAAGCGAGATAACAAGCAGTGTTCTGGGATACCATCTGAGCGAGTACACCCCACACACTGGACTGTGGGAGTCTCAATACCCACTCGTATCAGTCTGACCTACCTTCATCAAGGAAACTCTGTGCCCTGAAGCCCTGTAGGAGAGTTAAAAAAAAGCTTTAACAAGGATTCATTGATTCGAAGAACAAGTCCTCTTTACCAGGGGCAGCCAGATGATAGGCAAAAGGAAGAAATGAAGATTCTTTAAAGATAACAGGAAGCTGAAGTGCTCTTTAATCCATTTTAAAAATGGATTAGTCTGTGCACTGTGGCCCTGCACTAGAGGACAGTTTTAAATCAGAGCACCATGTAGGAACCAACAGTTTGCAGCTGGCCCCTTCAACAGATCAGTTAGCCTCGACTTTCATTGCCTCAGCCCCAGGATGTTTTATTCACCTTCAATTAGGCCCAGAATGGGTGTACTGGCCTCTAGAGTACGACACGTGCAACCTTAACAGAGGAGTTTAGAACAAACTTCACATTTCTCCAATATTTCAAGTGCAAGTTATTTTATAGCAGAATGTTTTCATATTGATTAGCAGTCAAGGGTTTGGGTCGTTTTTTGTGGTTTTTTTTTGGGGGGGGGGGGGGGGGGGGAGAAGGAAGGGTGTTGAGACAGCCACTACAAGATTTGGGAGTAATGACATAGCTTTACCAAGCACCAGGAAGCTAATAAACGGCCTAATATTTTAGCACCCAAGATGCTATAAAAATTGATCATCACTAAAGACTTAAAGCGAGATGGAAGCCGTGGCACGCTATTTCAGTGCGCGAGCACCAGCTTTGGAGCACACAGACATATGGCCAAAGTCCACAGTTGCTGAAATACCAGAAAGAAACAAAAAGGAGGCTCTGGCTATTTCCTGTTTAAAACCGGTCTGCCTCAAGGGAGAGGCAATTTAGATCAAGAACTTATTTTCAGACTCAGCCAGATAAAGAGCATCCTTTAAAAGAAATCCAACACAGTGCACCAGGGGCGGCCAACCTGAGCCTGAGAAGGAGCCAGAATTTACCGATGTACATGGCCAAAGAGCCCCAGTAATACATCAGCAGCCCCCCCATCAGCCCCCCCCAGCTCCCAGCACCTCCTGCCCACCAGCAGTCCCGCCAATCAGCGCCTCCCCCTCCCTCCTGATCAGCCATTTTGTGGTGTGCAGGAGGCTCTGGGGGAGAGGAGGAGGAGCGAGGGCAGGGCAGGCTGAGAGGAGGAGGGCAGGAAGGGGTGGAGTGGGGGGCAAGGCCTGTGGCAGAGCCAGGGGTGGAGCAGCGAGCGCCCCCGGCACATTGGAAAGTTGGCGCCTGTCGCTCCAGCCCCGGAGTCGGTGCCTAGACAAGGAGCCGCCTAGTAACTTCTGAAGAGCCGCATGTGGCTCTGGAGACACAGGTTGGCTACCCCGCAGCATTCATTTTACAGCCATTCCAAGGGGCTAGGAGGACGGCTCCTCAAGGCTGGCTATGATGGGGCTAACAGAACATTTAGGCAGCAGTTCAGGGTATGACAGCAATACACAAGGTGGGGCAAATCCTGACCTGACTCTCTCCATGAGATCAGTAGGTTCTGCAGGTCCAGTCAGGGCAGGACTCGATCGGGAAGGAGGCTCCAGGCACAGAGGGAGGCATGAAAGGAGAAGGCACAAGGCGGATGTAGGTGAAGGACTGAATGAGCAATCTGGACTGAGCAAAGGGGGGAACAAAAGGAGACAGGAGCAAAGAGACAGGAAGGAGCTAAGTTGCAGCAGGCTGTGAAGGGGAGAATGGGGAGCCTGACAGAAATAGAAGGACCAGGGAGTCAAGTGAAGGGATTTTAGGAAAGGCTGGACTTGGTCATGCATCAGGCCAGGCAAAGGATCACCACAGTAGTATTTTGGAAAGCTTGGCAGGAAGGCCAGAAGGAGACGTGGACAGGAGTCAAGGCAAGAGACAATCAAGGCCTGGAATAGAGCTTTGCAGTGGAAACAGGAGAGGCCATGCAGACAGAACTGGCAGGCTTGAGCATGTGATGTGGGGAGTAGATGCAGAGAGGAGTCAAAGAGGGAGGATGAAGGAGTTGTGCATAGTAATGGCAAAAGGACAGGCAGACACTTCAGTAGGACATGCTGAATTGACAGGATTCTCTTTATAGGAAAAAGAGAACTGTTCCTAAGCCTTTCTATTGTGGAAGCTGCACTGGGCTAGATATTCTACAAACAGCTCCTGCCCCCAAGGGCTTACAACCTAGTAGGCATAAGAAGTGGCTGAGACACAAGCTGGGGAGGAGTGGGTACCAAACAGTATTATAAGCCACATCATAAAAAACCAGGAACAAGTCTGCCGTCTCTCCATAAGAAAGGTCACTTTCAGCGGAGCTTGGGGGGTAGGGGGTAGGACAACTTCCAGAGTTTACAGCCAAACTATTTCTGTCTCCAGCTGGTGAGAACAGATGTGACTGACACAAGCAACACAATGTACCCAACATAATATAGAACAACCTACAAATATAGCATTATTCATGTTAATCACCTGTTACCTCCATTGCCATGGAGATAAATTATAACGGGATTATTGTCTGCAAGACTTTCTTCATACCAGCTGTGGTCCTTCCCTTGAGCTTCTATCCCCCTGCTGCCAGGCAAAACATGCCTAAAGAACCAAGAGTGTGTAATTAACAAGCCTGCTCAAGTGCATCTGGATATTCCATTACTGATCAGAGGAGACATGCTACTGTTTCATGGATCAGACACTGGGAAGATGAATAACTGCATTTAGTTAATGGTCTTCAAAAACCAGGCAGGCACAGCCTCTTTCGTTAGGTAGAGTCCAGCCATTTCTCTGTCCACTGCTCTACATGGAATACCCTTCACAAAAGGAAAAACAAACAATTGAGAGACCAAATACTGTTTTTAATTCAGCAGAATATAATGCAGCATCATTTCTCAGTTTTAAAAATAGCTACATATTCTCATCACAGTCCAGTAGCCAGGAACAGATCCACTGTGACAGATGAAGGGCTTTGGACACAACTGCTGGTAGACAGCATACAGAAATAATGGGGAAAATACAGAACATCCAATGGAGGGAGCAATGCACATGCTGCTCTGCGGCACACCATTGCTAGCTGACCCAGCTTGACATTCAAGGCAGATTTTCACTACTATGCCCATGGACTTTCACCACCTGCCCATGTACACCAAGGTGCAGCAGTGCAGGTACAAATAGCAGGCTGTGTGCGCCTACACAGATCTGGTCAAAGAAGGGTCAAGCCCTTTGCATCCAGATACAGCTGCTGTTTTTATTGTTCACTACTACAAAGGAAGTTCTGGAGACATGCAAGCTCTTACTTTGCTTCGTCACTAAAACGTACAGCTTTATGCAGAACATAAGAATAAGTTTTAGCTGGAGAATCTAAAAAGTTGAAGTAGTGACAGATTTTTACATTGCATGCCACATGGTATCCAGGTGTCAACTACTAATATAGTTTGACGTTTGAAATTCTTAGACATTAGACCTCAGCTGGGTACATTAGAGTTCAAACAAACACTTTCCTTTTGCCAGTCCATGAGAATCTGAATGGATCTGGTTGTCTACTCACCAGACACCGATGGTGACCTCTGGTTCGGTTGTGAGATAGAAGTTTACAGTATGGTTCAGCAGCAATTCAGGCTTCCCAAAGTCCACAAAGGGAAATGCCACTGAGAAAGACAAGTCACAAAATGCTAAGTGGCAAGTTCTCCCCGTACAGTGCAGTAATCATCCTATTGATAGCTAGGAGGATTAGTTCACGTCCAGAGTCAAACTGAGCAGAGTCTCACCAGATTCCGAGGAAGAGGTTTCATGTTATTGCGAGAAAACCTAATTCCTGACCTATCATGGGTGGAATCTTCTGAACTCAGCTAACTCCTCCCCCTGATGTCAAAGAGCTTTTCACCTTTGGCTTCAATGAGAGCCTAAGCAGACCTGTGTCAAGCAGTTCTGAAATCTTTCCCCTTCAAGTGTATACTATACATAGCACTTCCACATAGAGAAGTGATTGTACATATTTATACTACCTCTGCTACCCAGCCTACCCGCCTTCTCAGAACGAGAACTGCCATGAACAAGATCCTTGGCAGAAGAGTGTCTTATTGTCAACTCACAGTAATGGACCGAAAGTACCAGCCATCCCAATCCCCAAGCCAACATGAAACTGACCATTAACTAGCCAGATAGGTACAGGATGATGAATCCTTCACGCAAAAGACGACGACAGGAGGAAAGTGACTGGAACAGAGTCCCTTAATAGGCATCCTGGCATCACAAGCTGATCTCAACACTGGAGTCCTGATTCTCCTCCCAGCCAAATCTTTCTATTGACTTTATGGGACCTGGACCAGGCCCCAGGAGATTCAGCATCTGGTTCCAGTTCTGCCATCGATTCTTTGTGTGGTCCTAGACCACTTACCTCACATGTGCCTCAGTTTCCCCAAATCTAAGATGGGTATAAATACCTACCTACCTTCATGGGGATATTTGAAGATTAGAGAATGTTTGTAAGCCACGTTGAACATAGGCGCTGGAGCACCCACAGGGAAAAAAAAGTTAGTGGGTGCTCTGCACCCACTGGCAGCCAAGCTCCCCCTGCCCCCACTTCGCCGCCTCCTCCCCAGAGCATGCCGCATCCCCACTCCTCCACCTACCTCCCAGCACCTGCTGCCTGGCTGCTGCCAAACAGCTGTTTGGCAGCATTAGCAAGCTCCAGGAGGGAGGGGGAGGAGCGGGAACGTGGTGCACTCAGGGGAGGAGGCAGGCAAAAGGCAGGAATTTGGGGAAGGAGTTTGAATAGGAGCAGGGAGGGGGGTGAAGTTGGGGTGAGAACTTTGGAAAAGGGGTTGGAAGGGGCAGGGCCTCATGGAAGGGGTGGAGTGGGGCGGGGCCAAGAGCAGAGGTGGGGGGGTCGAGCACCCACAGGAAAGAGGGGAAGTCAGCACTTATGCCTTTGAAGGTGTAAGGCCAAATTCAGATCTCATGCAAATGGGTAAAACTCCCCTTACATCAGTGGAATTGAACCCACATACAGCAGGTACTGGAGTACAATATTATTATCTCAGAGGGTTAATATTGTTCTTTGCATATTCTCATTGATTTCTGGGCTTCTATTACACCAAAAACAGTGAGGACTTTACTGTAAAGAAATCGAATTCTTCACCGGGCCTTGCTGTTCCTCTTGCTACATGACAACATATTAATGCAAAATAATTGCAAAGTGATGGTACATTGTTTATTTGTGCTATTAGAATCATAGAAGATTAGGGTTGGAAGGGACCTCAGGAGGTATCTAGTCCAACCCCCTGCTCAAAGCAGGACCAACTAAATCATCCCAACCAGGGCTTTGTCAAGCCAGGCCTTAAAAACCTTTAAGGAAAGAGATTCCACCACCTCCCTAGGTAACCCATTCCAGTGCTTCACCACCCTCCTAGTGAAATAGCATTTCCTAATATCCAATCTAGACCTCCCCCACTGCAACTTGAGACCATTGCTTCTTGTTTGGTCATCTGCCACCACTGAGAACAGCCAACCCCCACTTCAGGTAATTGAAGGCTGCTATCAAATCCCCCCTCACTCTTCTCTTCTGCAGACTAAAGAAGCCCAGTTCCCTTAGCCTCTCCTCATAAGTCATGTGTTCTAGTCCCCTAATCCTTTTCATTGCTTTTGGCTGGACTCTCTCCAATTTGTCCACATTCTTTCTGTAGTGGGGGCCCAAAACTGGATGCAATACTCCAGCTGTGGCCTCACCAGTGCCGAATAGAGGGGAATAATCACTTCCCTCCATCTGCTGGCCATGCTCCTACTAATGCAGCCCAATATGCTCTGAGCCTTCTTGGCAACAAGGGCACACTGCTGACTCATATCCAGCTTCTCGTCCACTGTAATCCCCAGGTCCTTTCCTGCAGGATTGCCGCTTAGCCAGTTGGTCCCCAGCCTGTAGCAGTGCATGGGATTCTTGCGTACACACTTACACCTGGGGGAATTCTGTACCATGGCACACGCTCAGAATTCAAGTCGCCTGCAGATTTCCCCCCCGCCACAGAAAATACTTTGTCAGAGAGGCACTGCAGTTATGCCTTTTGGCCACCAGGAGCTGCTGTGGCACCATGACAGCCGATAGCTCCCCGTAGCAGCCAATGGAGAGGAGAAGAGGCGGCATTCCTTACAGTGCCCTACCCGGGGCGGGGGGGGACCAGGTGAAGAGACATATTGGGGGGGGGAGGGGGAAGAGAGAAGAGAAGACAGACTGGGGCACAGACTGGGGTTCAGAAGGATGGGAATGGGGGTGCCTGACTGAATGGGAGAGGCTAGAGGCAGCCAGGGTCTGCATAGGGGGGCTCCCCAACAATCCTTCCTCCCCTCAGAAAATTAAAAACACAAACAAACAAACAAACAGTTCTATAGGTCTCCCACTCATACCCAGCCACTCTCCAGGTTCACTCCCAGGCTCCTTCCCAGCAATAACTTCCCCCTCCCTCAGCTTCTCCGTTACCCCTGATTCCCCCCCCCCCCCCCCCAAGCCTTTGCACTGCTTCTGTGCAGCAAATACAGTTCTGGATTGTAGTTTAAAGGAATTACTCAAAGTTCTGTATTCATATGTCTAGTAAGGATCTGTCAAAAACATGTTTTGTTGTCTGTATTGTTACAAAACTTGCCGACTGGTATTTTGAAATAAATTACCAAAATAACTGAAACTGACGTGATTATATGGTGTTATTTTGACAAATAAAATATGTAGAATTTTAAAAAAATAGTGTACAGATTTTAATATTTTAGCGCAGAATTCCCCCAGGAGTAACAAATATATTGCCACCAGGAAGGTCAGGCCAATTAAGGATCTCCCTTTGTCCCTTGCCTTCATCATCCGAAGAGGTTATTCTCACTCAGCAACCCCACTGCATTTCTCATCCCACCAAACCAGCTGCACCACAGAAAGGTAGTCAGTCAATCTACCCCTCACACCACCACACTGCTTCAGATTTACATAGAGGTTTTATTTCACATCCCAGAAATCTCATGAAATTAGCCAGAATCCCCCAAATAGTTAAGTCTTAGCCCTTTGATACACTTTCATGTGTAGCTTGGTACTAGTAAAGCAATATGTACACTTTTGCTCACCAGCTGCCCCCTTTTGCTCTTTGATAAATCAATAGAGAAAGAAATGCAATGAGTTCCACATAATTTCTTATCCACACAAGTAAGTGGGAGGAATACTTACCAATATTGAGAAAGACAAACTTGGCCAACAGCGCAGGAAAGAGACGTATAAGGAATGGTATGGAAACATAAATAATGAAGAGATGCAGAATTAGGGTTCTGAATAACCAGGATGGCCAACTCCTGTAAGACATAAATCCCATTGATATACATTAAGAAAACAATATTTAGCGTTAGTTTAGCTTTATGAGTCTTTACATAGGACTTGTGGGGGGAGGGGTTGGGTCAAGTCTCCAGCTTATGGACATGATTAAAACAAGGACCTAGAGTTTTGCAGGGGTGGGTTTTCTTCCGCAGCAGCAGGAAAGTTAAGATTCTTGCAAAAAGCTATTTTAAAAGAAGTCACTTCCCTGTCAGGCACTAGAGGCCTAAGACCACCACCAATTGCTAGATTTGCTGTAGTCGTGCTCAGCAGTGCTGCTGCCTGCAGAGACTTGAGTTAACTCTGTCTTTTGTATTCTATGCAAAGTCTGGAAAATGATCCTCAGGTACTTCAAGAGGAGCACGAACAAGCTGGAGCACTTCTTTGGTGTGCAGAAGGCAGCATGTGCAAAGGGATTTCCCTATTCCCATCACTGATGCTCAACAGCCTGTTCAATCTTTCTAAAGCCTTCTTTCGTGAGGCAAGAGAGGCAAATAGGCAAGTCCAGATTAGTGCGCCAGCGGGTAGCTTCAGGAGTGGCTTGATGTAAATGGGAGATGCCACTGGCAAGTGATCAAAGCAGACACTGACTTTCAGCGTGGTCCACCGTTTGCCAGGGGGTGTCCACAGTCATACTGTGTTGTCTCCTCTTCCAAGAGAGGAGAGTGGGGACAGCAGCTGCCACGCAATGTTCTAAAATGGTCCAGTGCAGAGGACTGTCTCCAGGGTACATTGAAGCACGGAAGTTCCTTTGTGAGATTGGCAATCAGATGTGTGGGAAATTCACATTATCCCAGAATTCTTTCCAGTGAGCCTCAGGATTGAATGACAGCACTTTAAGAACTTTAGCCAGATCTCTCCCCCACCCAAAAAAAAAAAAAAAAGCCAGCGAGATTTCAGGCATGCCTTTGGCAGGTTCTGGAAGTCTTCGTGAATTGGTAAGCTCAGGTTGGCCATGGTTCAGTTGTATGTATCTCTCCCTGGATTTGGGAGCGGGGGAAAGGGGGAAATGTGTGCCAGAGTGCACAACTCTTGAACAGGTGTGGATTTGAATGTTCCTGTTAGGATTCTCATCATGGCATTAAACTGCATGTCCAGAGATTTGGTACATGAGCTTCTCACCCAGACTGGTAAACAATAGTCAGAGGTTGAGTATACTAGGGATAGAATCGCTGTTCAGAGGGTGTGCGCACACGCTGTGCCTAAGAGTTTTCAGACAAGGCTAGTCCTTGCTTTTACCTTTTTACACATCTTTTCTGGCAGGGCTTTAGAAGTCAAGTTTCTAAACCTCAATGTTAAGTAACACACAATTCTCTCCACTGCACACGCTACTCGTTTTTAAGCCTTATTGCTTTCCAGGAGGCAAGATTCAATAAGTATTTGCTGTTTGAGATAGTTGGGCTGACCTAGGTTCTTTCCACCCCACCATGTTGTGGGAGGAAAAATCTTAATAAAATGCTACTCGATTCATGTAGGCTCATGTGTATCCTTCAAAATTTCAGAGTATTTTGATAGATTACAAATGTGCACACACAGTTTGGACCTTTAACGACTAAAAATATATATAAAGAATCCTACAAAGTGTGGAAACATGGATGAATTGCTAAGGAGGAGTTCAAAAGAATAGCACAAGCATGCAGGGACAAAGTCAGGAAGGCTAAGGCACAAAGTTACACTTAGCAAGGGCCAAAAAAGGAAATAAAGGGTTCTAGAACTACATTAAGAGCAAGATGAAAAAGTTTAGCTCCTCTACTTAGAGGGAAAGCGCTAATAAATGATGAAATCTCCTTTGCTCAGTCTTCACTAAAAAGGCTAATGGAGACCAGATATTCAACACAATATTAACAAGGGGAAAAGGAAGACAAGCCAACATAGGGAAAGAATATGTTAAAAAATATCTAAGATAAGTTAGATGTATTCAAGTCAGCACAGCTGGATGAAATTCATCTAAGGGTACTTAAGGAACTAGCTGAAACAATCTTTGAGAACTCATGAAGGATAGACAAGGCCCCAGAAGACTGGAGAAGAGCAAAGATAGTACCTTTCTTTACAAAGGGGAACAAAGCAGACCCAGGGAATTATAGACCAGTCAGCCTAACTTTGATACCTGGAAAGATATTGTACAAAACTGATTAATAGTTTGTAAGCACCTAGAGAACAAGTGATACTATATGATCAAAGTATAAACATTTGTTAGTATTAATGTTGCCACTGTTAGATAATTGCAACAAATCTTGTACAAAAAGTGTATCAGGTAAGGCGTCAATGGCAAAGTTATGATTTGGAGGGTGATTATCCCATTTATAATCTTGTATCATCTTTGTATCTAAAATTATGAATATTGGCTATGTACCAGTACTTCAAAAAGGTGTGTGTCCTGGGGTAACACCCACCAGGTAATTTACATCCAGTCTGGCCAGCACATTGGGAAGCAGCTATTTAAGTTGATGGCCCATTAAACACTTAGCTCGTGCAATGGGTCACAGAAGACGCTTATCTCCACCCAGTGAGCCTTCCTGTGGACACTTGAGCCAAAATATGGGTAATGGCTGCTCCTGTGAGTCAAAACATGCAAGGGCATATATGACTTGCTCACATGACCCCAGACTCCATCTTTTGCCTGTAATTTTTCCCCCAAAAACTAAGCCCTGGTCTACACTAGGACTTTAGGTCGAATTTAGCAGCATTAAATCGATGTAAACCTGCACCCGTCCACATGATGAAGCCCTTTATTTCGGCTTAAAGGGCTCTTAAAATCAATTTCCTTACTCCACCCCTGACAAGTGGATTAGTGCTGAAATCAGCCTTGCCGGCTCGAATTTGGGGTACTGTGGACACAATTCGACGGCATTGGCCTCCAGGAGCTATCCCAGAGTGCTCCATTGTGACCGCTCTGGACAGCACTCTCAACTCAGATGCACTGGCCAGGTAGACAGGAAAAGAACCGCGAACTTTTGAATCTCATTTCCTGTTTGGCCAGCGTGGCAAGCTGCAGGTGACCATGCAGAGCTCATCAGCAGAGAGGACCATGATGGAGTCCCAGAATCGCAAAAGAGCTCCAGCATGGACTGAACGGGAGGTACGGGATCTGATCGCTGTATGGGGAGAGGAATCTGTGCTATCAGAACTCCATTCCAGTTTTCGAAATGCCAAAACCTTGTCAAAATCTCCCAGGGTATGAAGGACAGAGGCCATAACAGGGACCCAAAGCAGTGCCACGTGAAACTGAAGGAGCTGAGGCAAGCCTACCAGAAAACCAGAGAGGCGAACGGCCGCTCCAGGTCAGAGCCCCAAACATGCCGCTTCTATGATGAGCTGCATGCCATTTTAGGGGGTTCAGCCACCATTACCCCAGCCGTGTTGTTTGACTCCTTCAATGGAGATGGAGGCAATACGGAAGCAGGTTTTGGGGACGAAGAAGATGATGATGAGGTTGTAGATAGCTCACAGCAAGTAAGCAGAGAAACCGGTTTTCCCGACAGCCAGGAACTGTTTCTCACCCTGGACCTGGAGCCAGTACCCCCCCGAACCCACCCAAGGCTGCCTCCTGGACCCAGCAGGTGGAGAAGGGACCTCCAGTGAGTGTACCTTTTAAAATACTATACATGGTTTAAAAGCAAGCATGTGAAAGGATTACTTTGCCCTGGCATTCGCGGCTCTCCTGGATGTATTCCCAAAGCCTTTGCCAAAGGTTTCTGGGGAGGGCAGCCTTATTGCGTCCTTCATGGTAGGACACTTTACCACTCCAGGCCAGTAACACGTACTCGGGAATCATTGTACAACAAAGCATTGCAGTGTATGTTTGCTGGCGTTCAAACAACATCCGTTCTTTATCTCTCTGTGTTATCCCCAGGAGAGTGAGATATCATTCATGGTCACCTGGTTGAAATAGGGTGCTTTTCTTCAGGGGACACTCAGAGGAGCCCGTTCCTACTGGGCTGTTTGCCTGTGGCTAAACAGAAATGTTCCCCGCTGTTAGCCACAGGGAGAGGGGAGGGTTGAGGGGGTAGCCACGCGGTGGGGGGAGGCAAAATGCGACCTTGTAACAAAAGCACATGTGCTATGTATTTAATGTTAACAGCAAGGTTTACCCTGAAAGAGCGTAGCCACTGTTTTATAAAGTGTGTCTTTTTAAATACCGCTGTCCCTTTTTTTTCCTCCACCAGCTGCATGTGTTTCAACGATCACAGGATCTTCTCCTTCCCAGAGGAGAGTGAAGATTAGAAAGAAAAAAAAAAAACACACTCGAGAAGAAATGTTCTCCGAGCTCATGCTGTCCTCCCACACTGACAGAGCACAGACGAATGCGTGGAGGCAATTAATGTCAGAGTGCAGGAAAGCACAAAATGACCGGGAGGAGAGGTGGCGGGCTGAAGAGAGGGCTGAAGCTCAAATGTGGCGGCAGCGTGATGAGGAGGCAGGATTCAATGCTGAGACTGCTGGAGGACCAAACCAGTATGCTCCAGTGTATGGTTTGTGCTCCAGCTGCCTTTGCTGCAGCTCGAGCACAGACTGCCACTACAGCCCCTGTGTAACCAACCGTCCTCCTCCCCAAGTTCCATAAACTCCTCACCCAGATGCCCAAGAACGCGGTAGGGGGGCCACCGGCCAACCAGCCACTCCGCCACAGAGGATTGCCCAAAAAAAAAAAAAGAAGGCTGGCATTCAATAAATTTTAAAGTGCTGTGTGGCATTTTCCTTCCCTCCTCCACCACCCCTCCTGGGCTACCTTGGTAGTCATCCCCTTATTTGTGTGATGAATGAATAAAGAATGCATGAATGTGAAGCAACAATGACTTTATTGCCTCTGCAAGCGGTGATCCAAGGGAGGAGGGGAGGGTGGTTAGCTTACAGGGAAGTAGAGTGAACCAACGGGCGGGGGGTTTCATCAAGGAGAAACAAACAGAACTTTCACACCGTAGCCTGGCCAGTCATGAAACTGGTTTTCAAAGCTTCTCTGATGCGTACCGTGCCCTCCTGT